GGAAATATCAGTTCCAGGAGCAACTACACCTTTGAATGCCTCCTCCCCACCAACTTCCTTGAGAGCATTTATTTAAGGTTTCAGGGTTTCAACTGTCACCTCTCTTGGGGAGAGATGCAAGTCTTCATCCCTTTCTAATCAGGAGGTTAAACTGCAATCCCTGTGCAAGTCACTGCAATTTCCCAGCAAGTCTGACTTGGGTAAAAGTAGTTGTGGTTAACACTTTCTCTACAGTTTCAGAAGTGCATGCTAGTTACCAACCAGTCTTCACAAAGCAAACAGTATTTATTCTTAGGGCAAATGCATTACAGAGAAAAAAAGCCATATCACGCAATAAGAGTCCCTACATACATAGTACTGCTTACCAGAGGTTACACAGCAGTCTTACTGAGTCTGAGCAGGGCAAAGTCTTTCCAACCCTTCCACAAGAGTTGGGCTCCCCCTTAAACAGAAGGTCTGTCTGTTTGCTAGATTAGACAGAAGCCCTGAGCCCATTTACAAACAGCTATTTTACATCAAAATCCATTCTTTGGCTGTTAGTCTTTGAAAAACCCAGTTTGAACCAGCATATGCAGCTGCCCTCATGGAGACAGGGCTCACTTCCACCGTTCTCTGTTCTTAGCAGAATGGAGGCAACTTTTCCCCCCACTACAGTTCTACACAAGCCCTAGCCCACACTGCTATATAAACCACCCACACACTTAACAAAACATGGCCCCCAAAGAAGTTGCATGTGTGGTTTCAGTATGTGTCTGAAATGGATAGCATTATTCAGCCCATGTCACTGGGTCAAACTAAAACGATCTTTGACATAACCCCAGGGCATGTTTAGTAAACAAAAGAAGCTATTGCACCCAACCTTCCCGGCTAGGATCCTCAAAGCATTAAAACTGGCTACTGGAGCAAGTGCCACGATTACAGCTGCCACCAGCAGCATTTCTTGGAGCCCAGGCTCATAGATTTACACACACAACCCCCACGCGCACCCACCCCTCACCTCTCCCCCCGCCCCTCCACACACACCC